CGGCGGCGGCTGCGGCCCCGGGGCGGGAGCTCCCTGCCCCGAAGTCAGGTTGAGACCCCAGCCCAACGAGCTGGGTACGGAGAGATTAGGCGCCGGCGGCAGAGTCGAGGGTCCGAAGGGATCCTCCATCCGTAGCCCCGAGGAAGAGGAGGCACCGAAGAGGGCCGGCAGGGCGCGGGAAAGCAAGTGGAGGCGAGGCGGCGCGGGGAGCCACGCTGGGGCTACGAGTTCCCAAAGTTAGTTGAAAAGGCATTCGCAGAGAGAGAGATGGATTCGGGCGGATTTGCGCTTACTTGCTTTTGTAGGTTGTCTTCGTCATTTGTCACTCAAATGTGGGTTGTACGCTCGAAGAACACACATGATTCCTATTCTCCACCTTCCCCGCGTGTCCCTCCCAATCCCAGTGGAGCCTCTTCCAATCTCTGCTCCGGCCACCGACGCTCCCCTAGCGGGAGCCGCGAACCCCTCACCTGTGGGAACCCCACCCGTTCGCTGTTTACGTGCGGAGCACAGACGGGCAGAAGGTCGCTTTGCTTGGTCATTGTAAAGGCTCATGTTAACCCGGGACCGACATGAGAGAGGAAGCTCCCGAAACGGTACCCCCTCCGCCCCCCTCCCCCCATGGTGTCGTGATTGCCAGTAGGAAGAAAAATAGAAAAGACACTGGTTTTGATTTATAAAGAAGAATAACAAACAAAAAACCGGTTTGAAACGCCATGAATCGGCACTAGCATGAGAGAAACAGGAACATAAACCTAACGGCGTTTTGAGCAGAGAGAAGAGCCATTAGTTGAATCTTTGATAAGGAATGTCTTTCTCTGCCCAACAGTGAGAGTGTTTTAATTGGAGAGAACTAAAGTCAATGATGTTGCTTGGCAATTAGGAGCGGCAGTGGTTTGCAGATTGTTTCAAATACTCGTTACTAGAGGCAGCGGATCACAGCTGCTCTCCCGGTGATGTAAAATCCATTTTGTTAGTCTGAAGAGGGCATTAATAAGTTTTATGCAAATAGTACATTTACTGCTTTCCCCTCATATTTTCACCCAGTGAGGGATGTGTCATCACAGCTCCTCATTCTCTTGACTCTGTTTTCCAGCAGATGGGAGGTTGCTAGGAGGGACTACGCCTCCAATAAGCCTAGAGAAAAGATGACTAAGAAAATGATAAGGCGGCCAATTTTTAAAAAAATCCAAGTCACAGGAAATGGTTTAGATTAAATGCTGCCTCTTTCATTTTAGTCCGGCCTCCTAAACAAATTTTAGTTTTCCTGTTGAAAGCATCAATTTATCTTTTATGCACCCTCCACATTAATTATGGTAAAAGTAGAATTTCCTGTACTTCCTGGCCTGGGGGTGTTTACTGGGATTCACATTCCCAGGCTGAGGAAACATTTGGAACTTTAAGCTGCATGGGATAGGAGGGTTTGGTGGGTGCAGTTGGTAGTCCTGCCAGTCGCAGTAGCAGTCCCATTTCCCAAGTTGTCCTTTGGCCAGAGACCTTTGTCATTTTCATCATTAGATCTCTGGTGCCTCGCACTGAATCTGACACATGGTAGGTATCAGTGAATATGTGCTGAGTTGATCAATTAATGGATATATGATGCATTTTAGGTAACTTTGAGCATAAGTTCCTGCCTTGTCTATAAATCCATCACCTAAGAAAAAATGCCTTTCATGCCTATGCCAATATCATCCAGAGGAGCTCAAGGAGGCTTTGTGGAGTTGTAGGAATAACCATTCTTGGTGGGACATTTAAGAAAGTGGTAGAGTGATAGAGAGCCTTGGAAAGTCTAAAGTCGTGGATTGATTTTCACAGTCTCCCCTGGGAGGGTTTTGTCCAAGGCCTTTTTCTGGGTAATACACATCATCCCAGTAGATAATTCACTTATTCCAGGGAGCTTTCTCTGAGCAATGCCCATAGTTCATCGATTCTCTTAGCCAATATCAGTTCAATATTTCTCAAGATAGTTCTATAATTTATCTCGAATTTGTTAAAATGCTCTTATATATTACAAAACAAAACTGCCAGGGAAATCACATTTCACAGAACTTAGATCTGAAAAGAATATTGATTTTAAAACTAATTCTTATTAAAATAATACATGCATATAGTTTTGAGAGTCGAATAGAACTTGAAGGCTATTAACATAAAGTATTCCCTGTCCCACACACCCCACTTCTCCATCCCTTCTACTAGAGAGAACCAATTTAGATTCTATTTGCTGTTTCTTCTGGCATTTACTTAATTCCATAATTCTAAATAGTAAGTGTATAATTCTGGTTTATTGATTCAACAATGTTAGATATTATCTATTCACTTCTTATTAGATAAGGATAAAGATTCAGCTCCCACGCCCCTGTCCCCAATGTTTCCTCTTTCCCATACTGTTAGTACAGTAATGCTGTAATTTTCAGTTAGGCCTATATTTAGTGTATACATTATTATGAAATGAAAATATTTTCAGCTGTGTTGTAGTATATGAGTATTATGAATATCATTATTTTCTTTTTGTTTAAAATTAAGAATTGCCTTATCTTAATTCTCATTGTTACCATAGCTAATTATTCCTATCCCTTCAAATAATCCCTCCATACAGTTTCTGCAAGGTCAGTTTCATAAAATAGCAACTCTAATTCTTTTTCTTGGAGACCAGACCTCTGTTTTCCTCTTATTTGGGCTGATTTCTGTGCAGGCTTGCTGTATAACTATCATCTGGAGACTTCCATTTGTTGTCATGATTGAAACACTCTGCCTTTCTTTTGAGTAGCAGTTCCTGTTTCTTGGATTTTTGATTTTTTTTTTCTTGACTTGTTCCCTTTTGGTAGAGCACTCGTGCAATATTTCATAAGGTTAGAAAGTTGTACAAAGCATGAGGACTAAGCAGCGAAAGACCTCACTGTGCTGATTACTTGAGTCAAGTAGATTCAGTCTGGACAGGTTGCCCTCTGGGACAGCTGTCATTCTGCCATCTCACATCCTAGAGATTCCTTTCACTTATCTCACGTGGTTCTACTGTTTTCTGATTTCATGGTTTTTTTTTTTTTCTTTCTTTCTTGGTTTATTTTTTTGCTTGAGAAGAAATCATCCTTCAGTGGCTTTTTGAGAAAGAGTAACTTTTTGGGACCTTGCCTGTCTGAAAATTTCTTTATTCTACCCTCATGCTTAACTGATGATTGGGCTGGGTTTAGAATTCTATTTTGGAAAACATTTTCATTCTGAATTTTGGAGGCGTTGCTCCATTGCCTTCTGCCTTCTAAGTATTTGTGTTGAGAAGCCTTAAGTCATTCTGATTTGTGATTTGTTTGGATGTGATCATTGTTTTTTTCCTTTCTAGAAGCTTCTTTTTGTCTCTAACAAATTTCACTAAGATTTGTTTTGCTGTGGGTTTATTTTCATCCACTGTGCTGGGCACGGTCAAGGATCATGAATTGTATTTAATTGTACTATTTCTTTAGTGACCTTTAATCTAGAACAGTCTCCCAGCCTTCTTTTTCCTTTTATGATACTGACATTTGAAGACTCCATGAAACATGTATTGCAGAATGTCCCTAAAGTTTTGTTTCCACATAATTAAATTTAGATTAGACTTTTTCATCAAAAATATTACATATGTGATACTGTTTCCTCAGCATATCATTTCAGGAGCACATAATGCCAATTGATCTCAATATAGGTGACGTTAAGCTTAATATATGTTTTGAAAACTCAGTATTTCTCTTATTATATAAGTAGTACATATTAATTGCAGAAAAATTAGGCAATACAGTTATACAACAAAAAATTACTTAACATACTGTTCAGAGATAACCACGTTAATAGTTAGTTATAATTGTATATCCTTTAGACCTTAATGACTAGATTTATATATTTACAAAATTAGATCATACTATATACACCATTTTGTATTGTTTTTATTCTTCTTAAGGTTATATTTGAGTAGCTTCCATGTCAGTCAGTAAAAAATATAACTAACTGTTTAATGTTAAATGGATTATAATAACTTAAATAACTCCCTATTTTTGGACAAAGCTTTTCTAATTTTCACTTTATAAATAATAGTGTGAAGAACATCTCTTCACATACATCCTTACGTACACATGTAATTATTCCTTTATGATAAAATCCTAGAATTGGAATTGCTAGGGCAGAGCACATGAATTTTAAAGTACTTTAATACATGGTGCTGAATTGCCCTTGACAAGGGGCATAGCAATGTATGTGTCTTTTCTCTACAGTCCCTACAATATGAGCGTCATCATTCTTTTTTTTGGCATTTTCATAGATAAAAAAGTGTTTTATTATTTCTTCATTAAAAAATTGAGATATAATTTACATACCATAAAACATTTTTACCTAGTGCTTGTTCTTACAGATCTATATGGATTTTTATATATGCAGACATTTAACAACTTTTACCAATTCTAATAGTTTTTACTAGGATCCCCTGGGCTTAATGAAATGGAAAACCACAAATAGTAGAAAGAATACAAAATCCATTTTTTGAAAAACCAAAAACAGGTAAGTTCCCAATTGATATAGATGCTTCTGGTTTGAGGATCAAAGTTTAACAACAGCAAGGTTTCAGCACATTAGAATCACTTTGGAAGCTTTTAAAACTCCTGATGTATGGGGTAGGAGCCAGGCATTAATAGTTTTTAAACATCCTCAGGTGGTTCCGATTTGCAGCAAAGTTGTGAACCATTGCTCTATACCAACATTTAGCAAACTATGACCCACAGATGAAATCCTGTATTTTTGTAAACAAAGTTTTATTGGAACACAGCCATGTTCATTTTTTTACGTATCATCTCTTGATGCTTTGCTGCTACAACAGCAGAATTCAGTAGTTGTGAAAGAGACCATATGGCTCACAAAGCTTAAAATATTTAGTATCTGGCTTTTTTCATAGAAAAAGATAAAACAAAGAGGGGTAGAATCCCTTTGTCAGCTCTTTTGTTCAGGCTTTGCTAGAATTTACTGTTTCTAGAAGGCTCTGCTTTATTGAGAAGACTAACACCCTGTCGTAGCCTAATGTGTTGGTTTTCTAAATCAATGTGATAGCTGAAAAACTGTAATCCCCAGTAGACTAATTCAAGTATATACTAAGCTTCTACTGTGTGTCAGGCACTTGAGATACTTAGGGAACAAAAAGAACAAAAAGTCATGCCTGTATGGAGCTTTTATGCTAGGGAGGGTAAGGAGGGGTGAGAGACAGGGTAAACAAATTAAATAGGTAAGACATATACCAAGTTGGATGGTAATGATTTCCATGGAGAAAAATAAAGCGTTCCCACAAGGGGGAACCCTTGTGAGAAGGTGACATTTGAGCAATGGCCTGAGGGAGGTAACAAAGTGAGCCACGTGGAAATCTGAGGGAAGAACTGCATTCTGGACAGAAAGAATTGACAAGTACAAAGGTCTTGATGTTGTGCATGCCTAGTGTGCTTGGAAAACAACAGGGAGGCCAGTGTGGCTTGAGTAGACTGAGCAAGGTAGGAGTGTGAGAGATGTGGTCTGAGAGAGAACATGTGGCCAGATTATTTAGGGCCCTGTAGGCTGCTGTAATGACTCTGGCTTTTCCAGAGAAAGTAAAATGGGAACCCAGTGGGAGGTTCTGAGCATCCATGATGTGATCTGACATATTTTAACAGGATCACTCTGGCTGCTGTGTTGAGAATAGACTAAAGAAAACCAAGTACAGACTCAAGGATGCCTCTTAGGTGTCTATTGCAATATTCTAAACAACAGATTATGGTAGATTAGAACAGGGTGGTAATGGAGGGGGTAGTAAAAAATGAAGCCCAAAGGTGGTTCTCAATCCAGCTTCTAATTAGTGTCAGTTCCTCTCAGATTGTGGCAGTAGATAATTATTTTGGTTTTGCAAATTTTTCTTAATTTTCTGTTTTCATGGTTGTTAGATACCATTTTGAATTAGATATTGTCCTGAAAATTCAATTGTACTTAATGATGATCCTATACTTAATATGCTTAAAAAACTGTGGATATTTGGTACATTCTTACAATGAATGCATCTTAAAGTGTTTGGGTAGAATAAAGTGGATTATATTTATTTCATAAACCTATGTTTTCAGAAACATTTCTATTACTGTGTTATCCCCTCTATAATTAGCACGTCCATACCCACATTAGCTATTTTATGTTCTTTAGGTTTAATTAGGAGATGGGAATAGATTTGTGTATTTTAATTTTAGCTTTAATATTGAGATCTTTCTCTCAAGGGCTTCACTTCAGAGTATATGAAGTATATATATATAAATATAACATCAGATATATTCTGAAGTGAAATTTATTTCTCAGAAATTCATAAGTACAAAGATAAGCTCATAATTTCACTGAAGAACAATGAACAAAGCAGATGAATTGGCTCATGAAAAAAGTTTTAAAGACACTTTGAAAAAGTAACTAAGTTAGGTAAAATTATTATTTGCAGACAGTTTTTTTATTTGGAAAATATATCCATTGAAAAACTATCACAAACAATAAGGTGGTTTAGTACAAAATAAATATACAGAAATAGAGCTTGCATATATAAACAACTAGTTAGAAAATATAATGGAAGAAATATCCACTAAAAATAGCAACAACAGTAAATGATAAAACAACTAGGAATGAACTCACTTCTGCCTACACATTAGGATCATCAGCTGGAGGACTTAAACAAAACAACAATAACAACAAAACAGTGCCCAGGCTCCCTCCTAGAAGTTCTAATTCAATTGGTATGGGGTGGGGCCTAGGTGGTAATTTTTAAAGGTCCCTACTTTTAAAAAATTTCTATTGTGGATCTATATAAGGAAAACTTAGGATACTACTGAGGGATATAAAAGAAGACTTGAACAAAAGGAAAAGTAGAATGACTGTCATAATGAATTTAATTCTCATAAATTAGGCTATAAATTTAATGATTTCATAAAAAAGACCAATAGGATTTTTCATTTTTGTAACTAGACAAACATGCTAAATTTGTAGGGAAAAGCTAAGTAAGCAAGAGTAGCTAGGATAATTTTGAAAAAGAAAACTGTTGCAAAGGGATTAGGTCTACCAGATTAATAAATAAAATAGAATGGTTCAGTGCAAAATAAAATGTTCAGAAAGTGCATAAATGTAAGTGGGACTTTGGTATATGATAAAAATGGTATTTCAAATGAATGGGGGAATTCGGTAATGGGCCACAATAACCCACCACATTGTATATCGACAAAATAAAATTAAAAAAAAGAAATGAATGGGAGAAAAGACAATTATTCAATCAGAGGTATCAAAGGTGTTACATAATGTCGTGACATTTTAAATGAATGGGACAAGAGTTAGTTTACTTTAAGTAAAAGTCCGATTGGGTAGCTATTTAAAAAAAAACAAATTAAAATTAGATCTCTAATATGTAGTACATTCCAGATGGGTCAGAAGTCTAAGGGTGAAAAATAAAACTCTAAAAGAAGATAACTAGGAAAACCATTCTAAATATGACACAAAATCCCAAAGCTGCAAAAGCAAAGATTCATAAATTTTTAAATTAATATTATTTTTAATTGACAAATCATAATTGTATATACTTATGTGATACAAAGTTTCATAATTTTCATTACATGAAAATACGAATTTCTACATGTCAAAAAACATCAGAACAAAGTCAAAAGACAAATGACCATCACAAACTGGAAAGAAATATTTGTAGGCTCTCTTAACAAAGAGTGAATATCTAAACCATGCCTGTAATAAAAAAGAAAGACCAATAACCAACAGAAAAAAAGGCAAAGAACAGAAATAGAAAAAGGTCACTAAAAAAATTCCAATAGCTGTTAAACATATGACAATATGATCTACCCTAGTAGTAATAAAAATAAAAATAAAATATATTTTCTCTATCAGTTGGCAAAGAATGTGAGGACATGCATTGCTGGTGAGTATATCAATTAGTGTAACTTCTTCTGGGGTGATTTGGTAGTATCTAGTGCAATTTTGTTAGATACACTCTTGACCCACCAATTTCACTCCTAGGTATCTACTGTTAAATGACAGGAAACAAAAACAAAAAAACCAAAAACCAAGATGCAGAAAATGTGTATAGTATGCTACCATTTGTGTCGGGGAAAAAGAATAGATATGTTTGTTCATAAGTAAATGTGTGGCTGTTCTCTAGAAGGATACACAAGAAGGTGGTTTCAGTAGTTGTTTCTTGGAAGGGGAACTGGGTGGCAGGGAACTGGAAAAGGAAGGAGACTTCACGCTCACTGTTAACCCTTTTGTACCTTTTGAAGCTTTTACCTTGCACATATTAAAAAATAGTAATAAAATCAGCTATATTCAGGGCCTATGTCCTCTTAAATATTCCAAATACTCCCATCAAATACATCCAAATGGTCCCATCAAATACAAATAACTCATCAAACACCATCAAATACTCACATTATATTACAGTATTTGCTTCCATCCTTTTTGATACTTCCTTTAGCTTGTTAGAAGTTGGTAAAAATAACGATTTAATAATAACCATTTTTGAAAAGATGTAATTCTACAATCATTGGCATTATATTTTAAAATACAGTGCCTTCTTTAAAAGTAACTAAAAATCAGTAATTATTAAAATGGGTTCATTTAAAATACATGATTAATTATGATCCTCTAACATATTTATATATAGCTCTAGAACATTATTTTCTTATTTTTGTTCAAACTGTTTTTGGATTAGTGTGGGTTTTAAGCCACTGATTGACTGCATTTTCATACTTCCTTGGTTCTTTCAGCCAGTCCTGATGCCATCTAAGGTTCGCTATAATATTTGAATAATTTTGTCCTGTACTTTGTTTCCACTTGATAAACTGCTCTTTATTGTATTGATGGACAGATGCAGAAACTTTAGGATAGTTTATAATGGAACGAAGCTTCTGATCCAAAGAATAAGTAATTTCTGGAAATTTTGTAGCAATATTTGTTAGTTCATCTGGATCCGAGGAAAGATCTGAAAGGAAAAAATTAAATACCTCTCAAAACAGTTACTTACTAAAAACTTTTTTATAATGTCGTTATGACAGATATGTATTAAAATTTATTTTTATTTTTAGTTCCTCTTAGTGTAATAAAATGAAGGACAGTCTGAATGTTAAAATAATATACCAAAAGTGAAATACCCCTGTAATGTAAGCCCAAATTATCTTCTTTCCTACCATCATCGTACTATCCTGCTTTTTTTCTTATCCATTCTTAGATGCTGGAAATAGTCAAATCCTTATCGTTAATAAGCTGGCTTGGAACTAATTCTTCCTGTTTTTGATGCCTTGCCTAGTTTGACAATCAGAAAAAAATAGTTATGGTTATATTGTCCCATTCTAACATCCTCAAATTTTCAAACTATGAAAATTCTTTATATAGACAAGTCTATTGAAACCTCAGTTAGTTCTACTCTTCTTTCTATATTAGTAATTTGTGCTTGAATTTTTGAAGTTTACATTTATCAATACTGTTCATTTTAGAAAACAGCTATGAAAATAAAAATTTCTCTCAATTACTATCAGTGAGAAAATAATAATAAATATTCAGATCTATACATACCCTTTTTGCATAAGGTGTGGAAAGACAGAGGATGTAACTAGGATGCCAATCTAACTGGAAAAACGCAAGTCAAAGATCTTATGGCAATTAACATCAGACAGTAAATGAACACTGAATATTGTATGTTCAGGGGAAAAGCTCTATGGGCCTATTTGAGTGCATTAGTCAGGAGATCCCAGAAGACATATATAACTTTGCTAGAGGACTTTAGATGCCATTGCTTTAGAAAAGGGAAGTCTAGAGAATACAGAAAAGGCTGGCTCCTCCACTGATCCTTTGATAGCCACATCTGCTTTTTGCAGAACATGGTGTTAAAAAACAGAATTTCAACACATTTGTTTTAAAGATCTAATTGTCTTTTATTTAGTAATTTATGAGTTGGTCAGCATCCCATCTAAAGATGTGAAAAGGTGCTCTGATGAACTGAGAAGAGGATGTTAGCTTTATAGGCAGAAAAAGGCTGAAGAAAGCAGAAACAAGGAACAAAAAGCGAATTAGTCCTTACAAAGTTACTTTTCTTATAAGATGAAAAAGAGGGGACTTCTTATCATGCCAGCTCAGGTAAACTGAGCCCCTTCTGATTGGTTACTGTGAATCTCCTATTTTTTGGAAAACTGGCCCATTTTAAAGTTCAGCTTAATTACGTGGCACCTAGCATGAGTGACTCCATTCTGCTTTGGTCTGGTCTGTTGGGCCTAGTGCAGGGCTCAATCCAAAACAAGGGCCTCCCATAAATTTCACTGAAGAAAGCCAGTGAATGAGCAAGAGATGCCCATTACTCATCAGGATGAAAATTTGAGGACTTCCTTTTGAAACTGAGAATCCCCTGCTCTTAGAGTTAAGGGGGTTAGTCCATTTGGCCCTAAAGAATTATTCTGAGTCAATAACTTTGATATTTGTAACTGGGAAGAAAACTTAAGGAGAAATAAATATCAATAATGGTTTTAGCACATCTTTTAGATACAAAATGGGGACAAAAGTTAAGCAAAACTCCAAGTCTAATAATGCAGTCTAAAAATTAACTCATAGAGTGGTGAAGCTGGCAAGCATTTTTATAGGGTAGAAGGAGCATAGATTTTGGAGTCAGACCTGGTTTGGTCTTTCTTTCTTTCTTTTTTTTTTTGGCTGGCCTGTACAGGGATCTGAACTCTTGACCTTGGTGTTATAACACTACGCTCTAACCAACTGAGCTAACTGGCCAGCACCATACTGGTGTGAAATCTCAATTCTGCTACTTCTTAGCTGTGAGACCTTGCACAAATATTAGAATTTCTCTGACCCCTAGTTTCCTTCTCTGTAAAATGAAAATAATGGCACTGTCTTTTAGGGTTGTGGTGAACACTAAATAACATATATAGAATGTGAGGCTCCGTAACAGACAGGCATTAATCCTTCATATCAGGTAAAACCGAGGTACGATGAGAAGTTGTTGACTGCTGATTGGGAAGGATAACTATGAGTATTAAAAGATACCCTGATCAAAGAAAACAGTGGTTTCAATCATGAGACCCAAAGCAAAAGCCTTAGCTTAGGGCACTTTCTCTAAAATACAGGTGCTGATTAGCAAAGAAACTGCTCCTCACGTGGGCAACCTTTTATAGATTGTCCCAGCATGAGAAGCAGCAGATATGCATTTATTTAAAAGTGATTATTGGATCGCTTGAGCAACACTATGTAGGTCAGTTTATTATACATAATATTACACCAAAAAAAAAAATCAACAAATTTACCAAAGAGTTGAGGCAATACTGAAGCACCATCAGAGTAGGCTATATATTTCCACTGGTGAGTTCGAAGCATGTAGGTGGAAGCATTCACGTTACATCCATGGTATTCACTCAAAATCCAGGGCGGATGTAGGTCTTTGAGTTTATGTTCATTCTTAAATGTTTCTGATGATAATGGCAACAAAGAGTATCCACTCAGGTTGTGAGGCAGAGAAATTCCAGCAATATCTGTATAACAAAAATATCAACATATATATTTTTAAATAACTTATTCTTTTATTAGTTGAACTTTCATAAATGACTTAATTTACACTTTTCTATATCATTAAAGGTCACAGAGACTGGAGACTGTGTATGGATTTTGTAAACAGATTGCCTAGATTCAAATTCTTACTCAACTAGCCACGTGACCTTGGGCAAGTTATTTTCTCTGAACCTCAGTTTTCTTATCAGTAAAAGAGGGATAATAATAGTATTTGTATCTCATAGGTTCATTTTAGGTTTAAGTAAGATAATTTATGTAAATTTCTGAGAACAATACCTAGCACATAGGAGCCCTCAACAAATATTAGTTAATATCATTAGTCCTTTTTTCCTGAATGATTAAATAATCACAGTTGTTTCTCAGAGTTTGTTAAATGGGAAATTAATAAGACCTATATAAGAAAGGGGTTTAGTAGTCATATACATTTGCAAAATAATAGTAAAACAAAATTAGATAGGTAAATTTATTATAGAAGTAAATTTATTACTGATGTGTATTATAAACCTTCAAGATGGTATAAATTACACCATGTATCCCAAAGTTATTTGATGACAGAGCTTTTTTAAACTCTCACGTAGCACCTTAAAGAACTAGTATTTTGTGAAACATACCTGGGGGAATTTCGGATTATATTGAAAAGGGAAATTAATTTATTTTTTTACTTATTAAAAATAGAGTCAAAGAAAAACAGCATGAGAAATGGCAAACTTAAAAAGTTTCATTTTTAAAATTTGCTTTTAAGGTAGTATTTGTTTGGAACTCAAACTGCCTTTTTCCTACAGAAAAATTACCATTAATTATGGCTAGGTACTCAGGATAGTTCCGAAATGTGTCTGCAGTTGCCTCCCCCACCTCTTTCCTGGTTTCAATGTTCCATGTTTTTATGTATATTTAAATATTTCCAGTGAAAAACAGGAAGTATTATATCTGTAATATTAGAAATTAAACAACATTGAATAAGAAAATCAGTTAAACTTAACTGTATTTGAGGAAAAACAGGTTAATTAAAGGAGAATAAGGAAGTAGACAAAGACGTCTATAAATCTTCTCAAGGTACCTGTTTTACATATAACTTAATTCAAAAATTTGTATGTTCCATTTTTCTTAAAAGAGCTGTGTTACAAGTACTAACCTTCTGCCAACCAATCTTAATTAGGGACTTTTTTGATTCACAAATAAGAAAGAAGAGAGAAGTATTTCAGAGATAACTGGTTAAAAACAAAAAGACATGAAGGAGGATGTGCATGAGAGAAAGGGGCAGCCTGAGATGAAACTAATTGCTCTCCAAGACAGTAGCCTGCTTACCAGGAGGAGAGGAAAGAAAGGAGGGAGGGAAGAGGCCGGCTAAGGGTGCCCTGTGTGTCAGCCATCAGGTGGCACCACTAGGAAGGGAGGGAAGGGGCCTTTGAGGATGGTTGGGAGCGGGCACCAAGAGGCATATACCCATGACCTTGAGAAATTCTCATATTCAGTGCCTTAATAACCGTTAGTACTTAGAAATACCTTATTTCAGACCTGTGTTTACTCTAATTTTCCTAAAGAAGCTTGTTGGAGGACTAAGAAAATCTACATTTCTCCTGTGTTTATATGAGAAGTTTGGAGTAAAAGGGATGAGAGTCCATTTAAGTGTTCATTTTTTAATTTGTTCAACAAACCAGGTGCTGTTCCAGGTGTACGGAGACCAGTGCACAGAGCAGATAAGCTCTCTTAGAGCTTACAGTCTAATGTGGGGAGACACCAAGAAGACCTGAATGGCTGGAACAGAGCAGGTGAGGGGTAAAAGAGATGAACTGGGGAAGTGAAGAGATCATGTTGGATTCCCACGCCCAATTAAAGATTTGGATTTTTACTTCAGGTGAAATGAGAAATTAGTAGAGGGTTTTGAGCAGAGATGTGACAGTCTGACATTAATTACCGTACAGTGAATTGACTAAAAGTGGGGACAGGCTGAAGGTAGGAAAGAGTTAGGAAGCAATTGCAGGAGTCCAGGCAAGAGTTAATGGTGTCCCAAGTTTCCTGTCTATTATTGATAGAATTACATACCTTTGTAAATTGATGTTAAAGAATAAAACCCATGTCAAATGTTCATAGTATTTAATAAATATTGAACTTAAGCAGTTCAAAAATACTTCAAGTATTTATTAGTTTTTCTGTGCCTCAGAAAACTGGGTTTTCATTTATCATATATTTATCAGTGATTTCCTTAAAAATACTTTAGCTTATACTGCTTTACAAAGAGTGCTTTGATTTTTGTTTAAAACCATTTTTCATATTTATTTCTTCTGGCAAGTCTGTCATTCTAATTCCATTTTAAGTAAGTTTCATCTTTCTTGGCAGTATAAGCAAAGATTAGAAGTAACTGTAAGATTCTTAATAAAGAGTGACTTAAATTCAACACAGTAAACAAATGGGTAAAAAATGCAGATCTGAATATGTATGATGGTCTCCTGAAAAGAGATGACATTATATTTCTTTCTGATCATATCAGTACATAAGGGATTGACTTACATGGCAGTGATGAAAATTATATACATTTTAAAGAGAATGCCTAAGAAGAATGAAATGTCTTAATGATAATCATATCTAATATTTAATTGTTCACCATTGTCCCAGGTATTGTTCTAAGCTATGAAATAGCCACCATTATTCCCATCTTATTGATGAGAAAATTGAAGACCAATTAGGTAACTTGTTAAATACTTGTTAAGTAACTTGCCCAAGGTCACACAGTTGATAACTGCTAAATGGGGGGTTTTGAACTTAAGCAGTCTGATCCAGGATCTCTGTGCTCCTTCATACTATACCATAAGTCTTGCTCTACTGTAGTTATTCAACTTCACAGTATTTCCCAGCCAATAAAAAAACGATAGTTTGTGTCGAATGCCTGCCCACCCACAGCCTTCTACTAAGATCCTGTAACAGGGAGGGTTTTGTTACTTAAATCATTAGCAATTACTGATTTTTAAAAATATAATTGTATTTTTATATAATTACATTCTCACAATTTAAAAAAATCTGGACTTATCTTTAAGTGGGAGGAAGGAAGAAGTTTTACAAAAAGATCAACTATGAAAAGAAAAAAGTTCTCATCAAAATAAGTTTAAAAGTGAAAACCAAAATAATTTTAATTTCAAAGTGAGACTACCTCACTGAGCTAAATGATGCTGATAAGTATTAAAGAAGAAATATTTTGAGGAGTAATTTTTAAATAATCTCTGAAATAATGATATCAAGTTTATTACTATAAAGAATTCCTATTCATAAAAATGGCACTTTCTGCCAGTATTAGGAAATGATAATGTGATAGTATACTATAAAGGACCTATGAGGATAAATAAACTAAGAATATTCTGCATACTTTATCACAAAATATTTTGTAGAAAAAAAGAACTCTTTTAAAATACATTTTAAGAACTACTTAGCATCTTAAATTTCAACACACTCAGTCAATAAAGTAGATTTATTAAAAAAAGAATCCCAATTGGTTTTTCCTGTTCAATATCATTATATTGACAGATCTTTTTATGTTCAATATTTTTATATTGAATCTTCAATATTTTTATATCTTCAATATATTTAATATCTTTACATTGGCTGGTTTCAAATCACCATCTTGAATATGATATTCCTAAGGTCCACAGAAAAAAAGGAAGTCTGGCTTGAGGCTTTGATTTGAGAAGTTTAAGCTCATACTCATTTTGTGTAAATTGGATTCATATAAAATTATACAGACACAACTAAGCTAATAAAAAAAGGACCTTTAGAATTCTAAGAATAGATTATGGTTTGTGTCTATTTTAAGCTCCTAATTTGTAAGAAGAACCACAAAATAAAAACTCTTTTGTAGATAACTTTATCAAAGTATGTATGTTAATTAATTAATTTATTTTTAAAATTATTTTTTATTTCTGACTACAAAACAGGTCTTAATACATTAAAAAAGACTAAGATCATATAAAATATGTTCTCTGACCACCACAACAGAAGGAAATTTAGAAAATTCACAAATATGTGGTAATTAAACAACAATCTCCTAAATAAACACTGGGTAAAAGGAAATATCACAGGGATATTAGAGAGTACTTTGAGATAAAAATCAAAGCACAACATATTAAAATTTATATGATGCAGGGCCCATGCAGTGATTAGAGGAAAATTTGTAAGCACCTATATTGAAATGCTACATTCTTTTTTTCCTAATTCAAAATTTGGTTTAATTCACTTAAATGAAACAGCTGAAAGTACATCTGTCATCTACTGTGCTAAAATTCTGATTTTAAATGCATATATGAAAACATGTTTAAAACCAGCAGTGGGAAAAAAAAAGTTCAAAAACATCAGTATAAAACTTATGCCTGGTTGTGGGTGGGGGCAGGGTGGCCCATGAGCTGGCCTCAGAACCCCAGCCATGTTCTGTTCTAAAATGCTACATTCTTTTTTAAGGTATTAACCTCTTTGTAAAGTTCCTCCTTCATATCCTGGATTTTTTTTTCTTGTTTCACTGAGTCTTCTCCTATCTCAGTGAGTTTCCTTAAGATTGTTGCTCAGAATTCCCTTTCAGTCATTTCAAGGGTTTCCTGCTCTATAGGGTGTGGTATTTGAGAATTACTGTATTATTTTGATGGTGTCATATTTTCTCAGTCTTTCCTATTTCTAGTGCCACTGCGTTTATGTCTGGTCATCTGGTAGAACAGTTGCTTCTTCTATCACTCTGGAGTGGGCTTGAGGAGAGAGACATCCTTTTTTTTTTACAGACTCTGCTGGTGACTCTCCTTGTGTCAATGTAGTTGAGTGTCTGGTGGGCTGCCTACATGGTAGTTGTGGCTACTGCTGTGGCATCCACTGCTTTTGTGGTAGCCATGGCTGTGGCAGTGGGCTGTGGTGGGCCACCTGCATGGAAGTGGTGATTTTGGTGTGCTCCTGGGGATGCTGCACTTGGCTTATTCCTCAGGACCCTGGGCTTGCTCTCTGAATGTTTATTTATTAAGCAGGGAACATACTGTCCCACAGGTCTAATTTTAGAGTTAATCTCTGTTAAAGTAGCTCTAAATTCTTTCAGCACTGAGGAATTTCATTTTAGAAGGTTGGATTAAACACCAGATTAAACATGGACCATCAGAATTATCTTTGCTTTGTTGGCTGTTAAGGCTGTAAAGCAAGGCTATAGACTCAGTTTACGCCTGTTAATCCTGGTGTAACTGTTAATAGTATCCTTTTCTCTAAAAAGTGTGCTGATTTGGATAGTAAATTAGATGGATACTCTATGTCAATAAACAGACAAAACAAAACAAAAAGATGTTTATACAATTTTAAAGCCTACATTTTCTTTTTAATAATATATGGGACTATTTTCACATATCATTTCACTTTTAAAAATATAATTGACTTTTTTTACCCAAACCATTATTACCAAACATTCATACTGTTTCTCTTTCTTAATACTATAAAATATCCACAGAGATAAATGTTTATGTATATCTATAGGTTATTTCCTAACATTGAAATTTCTAGGCCCAAAGGTATGCACACTTCTACGAAATTTGGAACATAATGCCACATTTGCCTTCAGAAAATTTGTGCCAGTTTATAGTCCCAGCAGCAGTACATGAGAAAGCCTCCTTCCAATATAAGATTTTCTAATTGTTCTTAATCTTTGTAAGCTCTATAAGTGAAAGAAAAATGGTATGTTCTTGTTTTAATATTTTTATGACTATAGAGTTTGAATCTTTAAAAGTATCTTGGCCATTTATACATCTTCTGTTATGAATTGCTTGTTTATATCTTTTGGTCAACTTGTTAATAGGGCATTTCTTTTTTTCTTATAGATTTATAAGAGCTCTATGGATATTAAAGCATTATTACTTATAAACAGGTTAATTTTAAATAAACAATACTGTTACAATGTTGTCTCCAACATAAGGTTCTTGTTATACCTCTTTGCGTCTTTCTCTTTCCACCTTATTACTAGTTAACAACTGGTTATAGGATATTTCAGTGTTTACATAAAGACACATGCACAGATGTTCTCCTCTACTCCCTCTTACAACCCCTAAAAAGTCATGTAAATGTAGCTTTTTCCCTTCTGATAAGAAAAAGAATATTTATTATGAAACACATTATAAACTGTCCTAACCCTTGAAGAAGTTAATTTAATTTTCAGTTTAGAATTGGAGAGACACCCATTTTTGCCTTTACTTCTGTTATTCTTGTTGAGCAGGTCTAATCAACACATAATCTAAAAGCTGTTAATAAAATATATTCTGCAGGGAAATGTGACTCAGAAGGAGCCTGTTACCAAGAATCTTACGAAAGATAAAAATAAATAAAAATCTATGTAAAACTTAAGTTTTAGAAGATTGCAAAATTGGCAAATTGCAGGAAAAAACCTACAACTTCAGGGAACCTATATCATTTCCGGAAGAGGAGGGATGTAATGTGAAGGAGTTTTCGGGAATGTTTTGTCGCAGCTAAAGAAATTCTTATTGTCAAATAACATAAACTAGGTCGTGATTGCAGGTGCCCCTCTAGGTGAATAAATAAAAATTCCCCTATTCTAACCAACTTTGTTTTTTCTTATATGATCTGTTAGATAAGTACATTATGAAATCTGCAAGTTTACAGATGACCTTTAACTTTTATGATGGACGAAATGGCAAGTAGTGATAATGGTATCTCAAGATTGTAGAGTACAAAATTTGCATTTGGGCAAATATGAGTATAAAACAGTGTTTAAAGAAAGATGATTTAAACCATGCACATTAATCAACTACCATATAATCTGACAGAATGTTTAGGCCTGAATCAGACTCATTATAAGACATAATAATAATATAATAATATATTAATATACTAATATATAATATTAATAATATATAGTAATATTATATATGTTAATATATAATATAATAATATAATATAATAAGACAGTTCCCCAAAGATATTGGACTATTTAGCTGCTGGAGTCAAAAAGACAAACAAAATGCCAAATATCACTATGAAATATATTCAGGGAGAGACTGAGAAAGAATCACCTCAACTTTCCATAATCTTTTATAATACTTTTTGCTGTCTGGTCACTGTACCTCAGAAAACAGAAGATGACTAAAAAGTCAAGCAAATATGATGATCCAAGGAAGATTTTCTTTGGAAATGGGGAGGGTAGGGAGTGTTCTACATAAGGAAAAATTAGGGAAGGAATTGGTAAAGAAATGGCAACATAAATGAGCACATATTTATAAAATTCTAGAGATGATAATAAGAGATACACATACAAATACACGTAATTGGATATACACTTTAAAAACAGAAATGAGGAAACTAATAGGGTTTGGCTGGAAATTGGTAGAGCGAGAAAGTGGCTGAGATATGGCTAAGTGTGATAATTGCTTTGGGATAAAAGGAAACCAGCAAATGACTAAGAAACTGAAAAAAGTTAAAGGTTCAAAGAACAAAAAAGAAATGTGTTCAAATATACAAGAAGTGATGTGAAATAAAAGAGAAAAGGAAAGGGCACGATTTAAATTAACGCTAATGAAATTTATTTAAATGAAGGGAAAGACCTTGTAGCAGAAGGAAGGAGACAAATGGAACTCTTATTTCTTTGATTTTAAGATGCATGTTTTTTTTTTTTTTTAAAAGATGACCGTTAAGGGGATCTTAACCCTTGACTTGGTGTTGTCAGCACCACGCTCAGCCAGTGAGCAAACTGGCCATCCCTATGTGGGATCCGAACCCGGGGCCTTGGTGTTATCAGCACCGCACTCTCCCGAGTGAGCCACGGCCCGGCCCTAAGATGCATGTTTTTTTCACATTTTAATATTTCTGAAATTAAAGAACACACACATATATATTTTATGTTGTGTTATGTTTTTCTTTTCATAAAAATCTATGAAGTTTTTGCAATTGATGGTGCCTTAGAATACAGGAATTACAGTATTTAAATGCTAATGAATTTTTAATACTCCCTTGAATTTGATGATGCTGTTATTCTAATACCTTCAACAAAAACTGCTAACCACCCCATCCACATGTTGCTTTTTTAAACCAAAGGCTATGCTTGTAGATATTAAGAAGCTAGAAAAGCAAATAGTACGGAACTATCTAAAGAATTTGGGGAGAAATATGTTCATAGTATCAGATTAAGGCACTTTTCTAACACTGTACAAAGCTGGTAGTTTTAAAGTGGATAGAATAATCCAGAAAGGAAATGCTTACATCTTAGGGAAACAGTGGTAGCGAATCACATGATGTATTAATCATCTCTCTAAAGTTATGAGCCTGAATACTTACATGGCTTACTTTATAGTCATATCCTGATTGTGAATCTTTTGAAGGGAAAGTAAATACAGTAAGTGAGGGCCACAGGAACACGAGGAATATTATCTTCATTTTTCCAGAGTATGGATTTGACTCACAGTTAAATGAGTTGCTCAAGGTTATAAACAAGTCAGCAGGACTTCTGACTACTTTGCTTGTTCATTCTGCAACATTATTACAAATAAATATTTACAGAACTGTATTACTTACCAAGCATAGTAGGATAAATATCCACAAGAGAAACCACATTTGATACTTGTAGGTTGGCCTTAATTCCCGGTCCCATTACCAAAAGTGGAACATGGGCACTAGCTTCATACATACTCATTTTATAAAACTGTCGATGTTCCATAGCCAGCTCTCCATGGTCTGAGGTGTATATGACAATAGTTTTCTGAAGAAGATCTAACTGGCGAAGAGCCAAAATAATTTTACCTACAATAGAAATCAAGATAAATCTATCAATTAGCCTTTAGTTCATGTTTTATTTTATCACATTGTTTATAACAACTCTACCCTGTAATAGTTCGTTAAGATGCTTCTTAACATCTGAATATTATCTACTGTTCTTAAGTAAGTTGGATACCAAGTTTCATGTGCTTGCTCCTCAGTTGACAGACTAGAGAGGAAGGAGAAAATAAAATACCTATAGGAACTCTTGCTCAAAGCTTCTTTATCTTGAGAGCAGCTGGCTTGCTTTCTGTTTCTATTAGAGAATAGGGGGAAAAATCTTCACTTAGTGCTTTGAATGAATAGAGAAAGACAAGTCTGGATGTTAGCACTGCACATCTCAGATGATAAAAAGATTGCTATTACCACTGACTCTCAGTTTCTGTGCAATAGGAGGTGATAAGAACATCAGAACACCTCTTCCCTGCTTTTTCTCCCAAAGTCCTAAGCAATTGCCAGGTCATGCTCATGAGGCTGGCTAAGGGTTATGGAAATCCCACCTTTGAAGAAGGCTGGAGGCAATACAGATAGTGTAGGAGTGTGATTAAGCATATCCCTATCTGTATCTTGGATAGGGAATAACTGGACACTAAAACTCCTCTAACTAGTCCCTGTCTCTTAGTGTCCTGAAACTTCCCCCTCACAGTAATTGAGAATCACCATAAAGCATAGTCCAAAGAGAGGAGTCATCCCTATTTTGGCAATTCTGAATCTGGAGTATAGGGGTCTGTATTATCAAAAACCCCACAGATTCTGAGGTCCAGTCAGAACTGAGACCCGCCGCTCACTGAGTTACCCATGGCGTTGAGACCCTCATACTCTTTCTACTGCACAACTGGAATTGCTTCCTAATTGGCCTTCTAGTCTCCACTCTTCCTTACCCTCCACCGTATCCCTTGTACCACTCTGGTGGCTATCTTCTTAAAATAACGGAACACCTGATCTGGTCACATCCCTGCTTAAAACTTTTTCACTGCTTCCCATTGTCCAATTCTTTAGCATGACACACAGCCTTATCCCCTTCAACTACCTGCTAGACCTTTACCTTTCAGCAATGCTAAACTACTTAAAATCCCCTGAACATACCATACTAGTATATACTTTCCTGCCTCCGCAGAAACTCTGTCTTCTGTGTCAAATGCCTTCTCCCACCATCCACATGGCAAATTCCCATTTTGCCTTTATGACTCAATTAAAGCATTATCTGTTGGGGGAAGCATCATTCCCTGCTCTTCCAGGTGGAGTGAAGTACTCTCTTCTCCAAGACCCCTAAAGTTTGTATATTACTGTAGTTACAACAACATATTGTAACCCCTGGTGTTTATACTCATGCAATGAATGTTTACTTGAGTGCTTACTATATGCCAGGCACTATGGATGCAATGCTAAGCACCTAGGATGCAATGTTGAGTAAAACTGAATGTCCCTGTCCTAATGAAGCTTGCATTCTTGAAGGGAGACAGATGGTAAACAAACAAACAGATAAACTCATTGATATTATGATGTAAACAACACAATAAAGTGCAGAGTAAGTAGAATGATGGGGCTGCCATACTAGCTTAGAATGGTTGGAGAAGGCATACCTGAGGAGGTAATATTTGAGCTGAGAGCTAAAGACAGAGAGTAGCAGCCAAGTAAAAAGCAAGGGAACAGCATTCCAGGCAGGGGGAGTGGAAAATATAAAGACCCTGAGGCGGGAAAAGAGCTTAGAGTGTCTTTTTTTTTTTTTTTTTGTATTTTGTCTTTTTCCATGTCCAGCAACGGATCGCAACCCTCAGTGTTGCCCCCGTACCAGACCGGGGACTGGCAACGGGATCGCAACCCTCGGTGTCGCTCCCGTGCCTCGCTCAGCCAGTGAGCGGGAACCGGTCTGCATGTGGGATCCGAACCCTCGGGCGGGAGCGCCGCCGCGCTTCCCAAGCGGCGCACTATCCAGTGCACCACCGGGCCAGCCCAGAGAGTGTCTTTAATTAATGTGTGATTTCTTAATAGTATTCAACGTAGCACCCCCCAGTGCTCAACATAGTGCTAATAGGCACTAAATGTTTGTTGTAGTCACTAAATCTTTGTTGAACAAACACAATGAACAGTAATAAATATTATTTTGGTGACCAGACTAGTGTAGATTTAAAAATGAAGATACAATATATTCTATAAACTTTAACTTGAAGTAAGCTGCTGAATTTTTTTTCTCTGTAAAGACTTCAAGAGTAGTATTCCCACGCTCCCTGCAACAACATTATATAGTATTTCCCTTTAGTAGATATGGATGAATGGATAGCTATAAGCTTTCAAAAGCAATTTTTAGGGCATAAATGGGTAAACATTCCCTAACATCAGAAAATATCAATGAAAAGCAATTCAACAGATGTACGAACTTACGATTAAAGAAACTTACTTAAAATCTTATCTACATTAAGACCGAGTACTTGGAAAGTCTGCACGACTTTTTAAATATATATTATACTTGCTATATTATAAATAATTTGTCCATATGGCTTTCTTATGTATACTTTTCTAGTTTTACCCAATGTATGCTTTTTAACAAATAACCATTTGCTTGTTCACTCCCAAGGTTTATTTTGTACAGAAGAGGTGCTACCCATACTTCATTAAAACAATTATGCTCCACTCCAACGTGCAGCAAAATAAATGACATGGTTTTAGGAAAACTATTTTTTCTATAAAAACGGATATTTTTTAAAACCGGGGTTTTTCCACATATGAACTGGAAACTCCCATAACTCTACAAGTGAGCAGGCAAAACACTCCTTGACAATCATCTAATGCAGGCAGGTTTGGTTTTGTGCTGGCCTTGAGCCTGAATGAAGAAAGGAAATTCAATACGATTCTGGACCAGAATATACACGGGGAAACTGATTTCAGCTTTAGTTAAGCTTTGCTGCAAAGGGCCTAGGAAGAATGTGTTTTGTAGTTATCACAAGTCTGGAAGAAGTCACCAGATTCTACAAGTAAACTTTCTTATGTCTTAGAACCTAAGCTGCTTTATACTGACTTGTCACATATATACATGTGCTTGGCTGAATGCTGATTCCCGTTTAAAGCAGGTAAAAAGTTTTATTTCGAGCAGGTGATAGCTTTCTATGACCTTTTATGTATAAACAAATATGAGTGTTTATGAATAATTAAGATAGAGATTTTTAATCTACTATTAATAATGCAAGTCATCCAATTTTTGTGTTAAGATACCTATAGTTTTTAAGTCTGAAGTGTCTAAGCAACTGTCATAAGAAATATCTGAAGATGGTTTTGTAAGTCACCAACCAGCATGAACGCAGTTTGTTGGAAAAATATTATACTTTTTCTTCACGTAATTGCTTATTAATTATACCACCTACCAAGCATGGCATCTGTTTCAGCACACATAGCATAATAAAATGCTCTAATATTCTTAATTTCTTTTTCTGTAAACTTCCCAGTGCAATTTTTTGTATAAGAAGAGTAATAATCTACAGGGTGCATTTCTGACAGAGGTGACCACTTTGGGATTTTGATAGCATCGTCAGATACCTAAAAAGGGGAGAAAAAATTTAATTATGCTATGTGTAGTAGTAGTAATATTCCTCTTCTCCAACACATATGTATAGTGGACTAGACAATATTGACTGACTTAGAATAGTAGAAAAGAATGTTTATTAATTAGGTAAAGAAAATAGTAAAACAAATACATAAATTAGGAACAGATGGTTAACATTCCCAGTAACAACAAAAGGTATATAGTACTAACTCCAGACAAATTTTTGAAGATGGAGGCACTTAGACCTTTTTAAGAAGATATGGCATACCTAAAACTCTGACATTATTTCCTTTAAAATAGGATGTACAAAATAGTGTCTCTGACTAGAGTTTTAAAAGTAACTTTAAGACTACACATTTCAAAATACAGGCAGTCCTTGCTTAACACGGTTCTGATATGCACAAATTTCAGATATCACATGGTTTAGTTAAATAACATCAGTCCCCACAACAACAGGGTTCAAATTTCAGTTATCAGGGCATATTAATTGTGAATAATTGTATAAAGTACAAACTTTCATAATCATATGTTGCTAACCCTTTAGTCTACAAATCACTGTGTAACAACAGATGTGTATCACATTCAGTGACTAATCATGTTGTTTCTTTCAAAGTATTTCAAAATATTTCAAAGTCAGTGGTTATCAGGTCATGCACAGACAGCACAGTGTGTACTTGTGCTGCCTCCTTGTCTCTCAGTGATAAATCCATGTGACACTTTAAAATGGATAAGCAAATGAGGAACTGGTCAACAAAGATGAACATGCAATAAATAAATGAAAATTAATAAGGCTGGAAATGAAATTCAAATTGAATGTAAATGAAGCTATACAAGAAAGAGCTGACCTGGGAATACTGACACTGCTGTATTCCAGAGACTCTAGGTGTGTAGCCAGAGGAACTTAGTGAAAGCACACTTATCAATATACATAAGAAAGGTCATTGTGAAGAAAAGGATAAAGCTATCCCAAAGGAAATGAGGTTGGTAAAAATTTTCACATTAGAAAAACTCTTGGAGATGCATCATGACATTGAATGTGTGAAAGGTAAAGTGTTGAAAGGTGATCCAAATTTAAAAAGGAATATAAAAATTTTCCAAGTCATAGAGAAGATGCTTGGTCCATGTCATAAGTTATACAATGAGAAGGGAAGCATTGTTCAAACTAGCATTGTTCAAAACTGTTCTTGATAAGTTTTTTACAACCACCCCCACTTTAATTCTCAATGTTTTCATTATAGTGTCTAAATATTAGTTTTACTATTTTTCCATTTCCATTTATTACCAAAAATAAGAGAGCTGTAAATGTTTTGACAAATGTTTTTAAAGTTTCCAGAAAAATGGTCATTTCTCCCATTGATTATTAAGATTGTTTTGTACAGTTTCAGCTTGCATGGTCATGTTTATGATCCCGAACTGTGCAAAGTCAGGACTGCCTGCACTCCTGAGAGAATGTCTTTCAGTTTTTCTTTTTATAGACATACCACAGACAAATGTATTCAATTCAGAAGTAGGTTTCTGAGTTTTAACATATTTTATTTCTGTAAAATTGCCCCTTTAGTTTTTATCAAACCAATTATTGGTCAAATTTGAATATACAATTTTCAAATTTTCTTTAAAAGTGTTAAAAAAGAAACAATGATGTAATACCATTAAATTACAGATACAATGTTGATTTCTACTTTTGAGCACACATAATGTAGTTACTCACTTTTCCAAGCCAATAAAGAGATGTGTGAAATGTTGAAGATCCAAAATTTTCTCCTGAAGATGGTGAAGGGTAAGGGTGTGGTAAATTTAATCCCAAGTAAAGAACAAATGGTTTGGTGTAATTGATTGCTTCCTTTCTTAACCAGTTTATTGCTCTGTCTGTATTCTTCCAGTCCCCTTCCATCACTCTTACTTTAGTCTTATTAGGGATGAGGTTAACCATAGGCCTGCCTTCTTGTCTGAGTAAGAAAGCAACATCTCTTGTCCATGCTTCCACACGATTACTGAGGGAGCAAAGAGACAGGTATATTGTAAGGTATTTAAAAAGTTTTAAAAACTGACTAGGCATACAAATTAGAAAGCAACATAAAAACAATTTTTAGACTCAGTCATGTAAATGTTCAGAATAACTATATTAGATACTGTATTAGTCCATTTTTGTTGCTTATAACAACATACCTGAAACTGGGTGATTTATAAAGAAATTGAAATTTATTGCTTATAGTTTCTGAGGCTGAGAAGTCCAAAGTTTATCCGGTGGTGGTGACAGTGACCCAGGGGTCTCACATTGCAAGATGGTGGAAGCAGAGAGAGCAGAGCGAGAGCAAGAGAGACAGACTCTTCTCTTCTTTTAAAGCCCTTAGAACCACGCCCCTGACTACCATTTCTAATGCATTCACTACAGCATGAGTCTACAATCCAATCACCTCTTCAAGGCTCCACCTTCCAATTACCGTAATAGGATTTCCCAACCTCTTAACAGTCACAGTAGGAGCTAAGTTTCTAATACATAAAATTTGGGGGACACAATTCAAGCTTCAATGAGTTTTGGGGGGACATAATTCAATCCACTGCAGATATCAATAAGAAAGTTATTAAGCATTACAAATTTAAAAAATCAGGAAAAAAGTAACAAGAATCAAATATTCATTTATGTGTTCTTTAAAACTATGACAGATTATTTAGAAGGATTACTTTTTCCTATAGCAAGATATGTATTTGGTCAAACAAAAAATGTTTCAGATTCTTAGTATTTCTCCTTTTTCACTGAATTTTCTAGCATTTTCTCTTTTGTCTCTTAGAAAAAGATAGTATTTCTAACCAAAGTTACTATATAATTCCCTTCTATTGCTAAATCTTTATATTTTTAAAATCCTACCTACCATGTATACTTCATGTTTTTCTGAAGTCTCAGGTTTTAAATTGTTTCCAGCTCTATCTTTTCTCAGTACAAGAACAATTTTAACTATGATTTGGGTTGTCTAAGCTAATACAAATTTTTTATCCATTAGAAACTAAAGATGTTTTCTTTATTAGCTGATGTAAAAGTTAAACGATTCAATCAACTCAATTTCTCTACATCTTTAGCTTATTTTAGCTTACTGCTTGATTCTTCTCAAGCAATATCTAAGGATATGTAGCTGGCATAACTGTGGAGGAAGCAGTCCTGGGCATTTCTAAGAAGCTTGTGTTTATAAGTTTCAGCTGAGGTAAGTACCTCTGAAGCACCCTGTCAATTGAAAAAAGGCTTTTAAAAGATCTGGATACCTACCCACAAATAAAGAATATTTTATATTAAAACATAATACTCCACTTAAGAGAAATTTCAATCCACACAAAATGACTAATGGCCCATAGATGAGCTAAAATAGAATATTTTTATTACCTGGCTTCTGAGGGCAGGTAAAGAAATTTAAGCAGCCATAATAAAAACATCATTTTCATAGTAGATATTCAGTATATTTTGATAATAAAAAACCTAGAATTTCAGAATTACATCAAACATATTCTAATTAATTCTAACAGATGGGAAACCCTAAAATAGAAAGTTTTGTAAAATTCATCACTGTGAAAACAATGACATTAGTTTCTCAACTTTTGCTTAAATCATTGCTGAAATCTCACTATATGTGACTATTAGAATTCTTGCAGAGGTGGGATTTTAGGGGTTTCTAACACTAGCAATACTTGTGGTAGAACTCAAGGATTTTGAAATAAAGGAGTGGGACACTGAGATTCATACAGGATGTTTAGGAACCAAAGTGTTCTCTTTTCAGTCAAGGAGTGTTCCATGGAAAATATGGCTGAGAAATTATGACAAGAAGCAAGCATGTAATACAACCTAACTTGTTGTCCATCTTTGGATTAACTCAGGTGTAGACTATTGTCCTGATTGTGCTGACATACCCATTTGACTCTACAATGCAGTGATGAGTCTAGACCATCCCAAAGAAAGATCTAGCCTTGAAAGATGGCTGTAATGAATCCAGCTTGCTGCATCTTTTGCCTTAGCAATAAATAAATGTGATTTCATTTAACCTTTCTGGTAATAAATTTATGCCTCTTCTCTATTTTTTTTAACTGCATTCCTGAGTTAAATTTTGGCCTAGTTTTATCATCATGGCTAGATTTCAAACTTGGCTTTATTTTTGCCCTCTTACTCAATAATATGTGATTTATCTCCCTATCTTAGTGGCATCCTCTTTTGTCTCTTCAAAAGAATGCATGCCTCTGGCATGACTCCCCAATTGCTGGTACTCAAGTAGAGTTACAACAAATGATTTCACCATTGCTAGGGCAGCAGGAACAAGATTATGGTTGAAGGTAAAAGGATCCTTTCTCACATTTTTTAGGTCTTTCGTTGGTTGACCTATGTTCAGGCACTGTGCTTAAGTATAAAACAGGAATTTACTTCTTTGCAACTTAAATAGGAGAGTGAGGAAGAACAAAAGTATAGAGCGATGTATTTGGTAGAAGAATATACTATTTTTAAATCACTTAGCTCTTTTTAGGTATTCAGTAAATATCAGTAATTATAATCAACGTTGACTCTCTGTTCTACTCACTACTCCCTAGGCCAGCCTAATCTTCTTAGGCCATCATTTAAGCATAAGAAGAGCAGTAGATGCAGCACAAGCTGTAGGCTTCTATAAGAGCTACAATTCTTAGTCTGGAGAGTTCCTCATCTCAGCCCAAGCTTCTTTCCAGTCAGTAACACCAATGAGTAAACCAAGCAAAGAGAATATACATATGAAACCTTGTAATCTCTTACAAGAACAACAACAGAAAGAGTACTCTTTTGAAATTATATCTTTCTACTAACCAATGTTTCCAGTCCCTTCTTGCAAGGGTAATGGTCTTTTAATCAGGCCAAACTGTTACACCTGGAAATAACTTTTGCCCATGTGCTCAGACCCACTGCTTTGCCTCACTGTTCTAAGTGTTGTCTTTTTTCTACCACCAGGAATTACTATAGTGCCCTCCAAATATAAGCTTTCTAAATATTTAGCCACTGCTGGTATTTTGAACAAATTTCTTTCCATTCCATTTCTGTGTACTTTGTATAGAATATCAAGAGTATGGTTTCAATTAGGACAATTAAAAAGGGCTTGTATTAATGGTAATGCGGAGGTACCAAAACTACCTGTGATTTGGACACTGTATGATTCACTGGCTGCACTTATTATAAATTTACCCTATTACTCACAACAGGCACAAGCATATAATGCGCAGTTTCCTATATGCCAGCATTTTTCAAAGTGTAGTCCAGGGATCCCTAGGGAGAGGAGTCAGGGAGTCCATGAGATCAAAACAATTGTCATAATAACAGTAAAATGTTATTTGCATTTTTCGCTGTGATTCTTTTATTAGTCTACAATGTAGGAGAGCACTTTATTCTTAGGTGGGAGTTGAGATGTGACGTATATCCATCTCAAAGGAGATTGTTCTGTATAAACTTAGGGAGGATTTGATGTGTCATTTTTGTCATGCCCCTCCTAGGTGGCCCAAGTTCTACTTCAACTCTTTGCAGAAATATAAGAGGGGCTTCTCTTCTCAAAGGGATGCAAATAATAAATGCATATTTCTGATAAAGACATTCACAATTAGTTATACCTGTCCTACCTCCACCTGAGGTCCAGTTCTTTATATCCTTGCTACTCCAAGTGTGGCCTATGGACCAACAGCATCAGCAGCACCTGGAAGCTTCTTATAAATGTAGAATCTCAGGCCCCATCCCAGATCTATTGAATCGGAAAGGGCATTAACAAGATGGCAAAGTGATTTGCATATATACTAAAGTTTGAGATGCACTGCTTTACATATCAGTGTAAGAATTTTTTCTGCAAACATTCTCAATTTTTATTTATTTTATTTTTTATTTTTTTTCCTTTTTGTCTTTTTTCGTGTCTGGCAACGGATCGCCACCCTCAGTGTCGCGCCCGTACCGGACCGGGACCAGCAACGGGATCGCAACCCTCGGTGTTGCGCCTGCACCTCACTCAGCCAGTGAGCGGGAACCGGTCTGTATGTGGGATCCGAACCCTCGGCGGGAGCGCCACTGCGCTCCCAAGCGGCGCACTGTAGCAGTGCGCCACCGGGCCGGCCCAACATTCTCAATTTTTAGATAGGATAATCAAAATGGAGTTTCCACTGTGGCCTACGAATAGGAGAATGATTCTACCATGGTTTGATTCTAGAAAACGAGGTGACAGCCAAACACACTACCCACCAATCAGCAGTTTGATTAGTTTTTTTTCAACAACAAAAAACTTCTCACTAATAGAAATGGAGAATAAAATGACCTAACACATTACCAACTAATTACTGCATAAATTTATATATGTGCCATTGCTGTGTGGGTTTCCTGTGCTAGTGTGCCAAATTCTACTGATATAACACTGGACACAGCCAGTTAGCACAGGATTGGTTTATACAGTAACAATCACATCTGAAAAAATAGCACACATTAAAATTGATGATGAGAACAGGACAGTTTTCTTTCACTTTAAAGTAAGAGCCTAGACTTAAACCTTTAGTTCCTAAGATTCTAATAAAGATAATTAAATATCTCAGACTTTAAGAGTTCTGTGATGGTCTCTCTCTCTCTCTCTTTCTCTTTCACTGTTATTGATGGGATTGTAGCAGCTGATATGTCTCTCATAAGTCTCTTGCACGGAAAAATGTCAATTCTGAAAAATGCCCCGGCAAATTTCTGTATCAGCCTATTCAATTCTGTAAAAGAAAAAGGAATCCATACTTATTCCCATTAAATGCTCTTCTCCCAAAGCTGTGAAAAACACACATACCATTTTTTAAAAGATTTACAGGCTATATGTCATCTATCTTCCTTATGTATGATCACTCACAAAAACAATCTGTTTTAGTTGAATGAATCATACCAACCCTGGCAAATTCAGGTTGGAACATCACTTTTCAATATACATTATTTAAATGCTCATTGCATGTTTCTCCACCAATTAATTTTATTTCCAACCATTTTCCT